TTTCAGTCTGGCAACCCTATGTTAAACTAATTTATATAGGCCACTAGGCAGCTTAGAATATATGTGGATTTGCATCGTAATTGTGGTAAAAATGAATTAGAAGCCCAACAACTGCACTCCTCTCCAATCTTCTGCAAACACAATGAACCGAGATAATTAGAAACTAAAAAATAATTGTTATAAAACTGTTGACACAACTTTGAGAAGAGCCTGCTTAATTTGTCCATATATAATATAAACATCTATTTGCTTTAATTCTGTGTTCATAGAACATAATGGGAGGAAATAGCTTCATGTTGTATGTTTGGAATGCAAATAAACAAATAATCTATTGCAACATTGTAAGATACCTTACCTATAATTGACAAAGATACAGTGATAGATCTGTTACATTTGTACAGTCATCTTAATCATTATTATAATTTATCATTTATAAAAGACCTTAAAATATCCTGGACACTCTGCAGAAATAAAATGAAACTAGAGAGCCAGAAAAGATGACTTCTTAGTAATGTCTTAAAGCAAAATTTAGAAAGGGCCAACCAAATCTCTTAAGCAGAAGAGTTTCATGATTTATGATCTTCGACTTAAGCTTTTTTTTCATCTCAGCATTCTTTCACTCCTTTGCTTGATTTTTGTTTGTGCCCAGTTATTAATGGGTGGGTAGTTCTTTTTGCAGGATTAGTATATGGACATGTCTGACATTCAGTAGCAAAGGTCTGGTGTAGATGTTTTTCTGATAAAAGGAATGGTGAGAAATGCTGATGTTCCAGATATAATTTGTTCTGTGGGTGTACTGATACTTACTCAAACTACAAAAAAGGCTATTGATTTTTCTGTGGGGAATGACATTTTTTATCCTTAGGATGATTTGTCATGTTGTACTCACCTATAAAATGTAAATATAACATCATTGCTGCATACTTTCTCTGTGTGGTCTAAACACTCCCTCATGGTGCCACTGTCAGTAATAGTGATGCCAATCACTTCCCAGGGAAGTCCAAATGTCAGCAAGTATTAAAATAGTTTTGTAGGTTCACACACACATACTCCCCTGAAAAATTGTTCTCATTCAGATTAATGTCTCAATCATTCAATTTTTGATAAGCCTCTCAGATCTTGGATGCTGACAGTTTTATAGCAATGTTTTGTATATACCCTATAGTCTTATATTTGACCTCTTCTTCTAGCCAACCTTTGTCATTTGTGACTTAAATTGAATTTTATTTGTTTCTGACACTAACATGTAGGGTTATAATTTGATGTACATTGCTGCTGCTTGTTCTAACTTTTTGTGTCACTCACCTCTCTTTAATAAGTATATCTTTTTACACTTCCCCTTCCTTTGTTTGATAAGAAATGCTTTCGAGCAGCAAAAATGTGTATTTCATCCTAAAGCTTCACCTCTGTGGCTTGTTCATGTGTCTAAACCAGTGTTTCTCAAAGTGTGCTCCTCCAGGGGTTTTGGGCCTCAGCTCCTAGAAATCCCAGCCAGTTTACCAGCTGTTAGGAATTGTGGGAGCTGAAGTACAAAACATCTGGAGGAGCACAATTTGAGAAACTCTGGTCTGAACTATCAGTAGAAATTAGGGCCAGCAACTTGAATAATTTTTCAATAAGAACATATAATTTAAGGGCATTAGGTCAATAACACTTGATGATCATTAATCTTAGAAAGAGCAGGGGAAAATAGATAAATGTAAATTATTCCTTGGCTTTGCATTCTGAGATCATTTTATAATTATGAAAATGAAGTCAAGGGTTAAATAGGCTAATCTTTTACTTAAGAGGGGTTCCCGCTTAGGGCGCATCAACTTTCAGTCAATCCTTATATTAAGAAAGGTCATCTGTTTATGTACACATTAAACCACAGAGCAACAGCTCAGTACACCAAGATGAAATTAGCGTGACTCTAGTTTGGAACATAATTAATGAATGTTTATCTCCAATTGTCTTCTGTCAATAATAACAAAGTAGTGGTAGGAATAGAAAATGTCATCATGTTTTATAGTTCAGCAAGATGTGTTCTACTTTTAGAAATGTATCACATTATGGAATAAGTAGCATAATGAATCCATCAAATAATAATCAAACTGGCAGTTGAGAAGAATATAATACCATTTTGTTCTAAAAGTTGTAATTTACTTCCTTCATATAAATATCCTTTAGAAATATACTAAGGACCACATTGGTGAGGGGCTGCAGGGGGTTTCACCATGTAGTGTTGTGAATCCATGGGCTGTGGGGGGAAACTGTTGCCCTTCATTGCCCATTGCACCACTTACCTTATCCCATAGTGGGAAGCATTGCTCCCGGCTTCCCCCTGTTCTTCTTTATGGAACACAGGAAGCTTCTCATGTTCCCAGGGAAGAGGCCTAGCACACTGCCAGGATGCTTCCTCTATGTAGTGCTGCTGGAAATTGCCTTACATCATGTGATGGCATCCATCAGACTCTGAGGAGGAAGTGTCCTGGCAGAGTATTAGGATGCTCATTTTCCTCTATGTGATGAGGTTGTTAGAATGAGCCAAATGAGACATATTTCTAAATAGAAATGTATTGGAATGTACAGTTAAATGTACAATAATTTAGATATGCTAAAATTAATAATGTGCCTTCATCTCTCCCCAAAAGCTAAATAATATAAATTGCTATTGAGCTGTCATGTCGTTAAAAATTATGAGAAAGCCAATAGGTATAATTTCTAAGTAGAGCTTTGTAATTCTTTGAATATGATAAATATCCACATTGAACATCATTTTAAGAATGTTTGTGTCTAATTGAAAAATAGATTCCATTAAGTTCAATGGAGCTTACTTTCATGCAATTGGCTAAAGGACTTGAGCTTAAGTCTGTTTTTCTAAATTTTCGCTCGTAACCAAATATTTTAGTTCAAACATTGGCTACTAGAGAAACATGAGATATTGATACAGCATAAAAAATTAATGGGTCATAATTGTTTAGTTTTGTTTACTAACCATGAGTCAAACAAATGCACTCAATACAAATTAATTGCTTGCAATCAGAGAAAAAAAGATGGAAAATCCTCACCCATGGATTAGCATGTTTAATTTTCTAGTTACTCAGTTGTCAATAAACAAATGTTATCCACAGAGAACCATATGTTGGGGAGTCCAGAATTCATTAATGATAACACAATAAAGAAGAGGAAGATTATATAGGAAAATATATGTATTTAAAATCTTTTGTGCATTCTTCCTTGCACTAACAATAAATTGTCCTTTACAACAGGACTAACAGTAAGCAGAGACATTGTATTTTTAATACTGGGGTAGAGGAAGTAGTATAAGACTTAAAATGTTAGTAGAAAGTAAAACTAGCTAGATTCTGTGTTCTGCAGTCTTCTCTTTTTAAACAGAAAGAAATCCCTATTTAAGCTACCCATAGTTTAATGGAAAGAAGTTTTTGTTTTAAGTGTATGAGTCTGCCAGTTTGAATTTGTAATATTTCAGTTCCTAAACCTGCAGTTATCTATCTGTCTACTTATTTGTCACGATGATCTAGTTTCAGTGTGTCATATGAAGTTGGGGAGCATCTTCTCCATCCTCCTAGAACCCAACTGGCAACCATTACCCAGAGAACCTTTTCATCGGCTGCCCCAAGACTCTGGAATGATCCGCTGAATGAGCTTGGGCAACTAACTGAGCTCTCAGAATTTTAAATTATCTATGCCAGGCATCCTTAGAGGTTGTGAGATCTGTTGTAAATGAGGCAGTTGAGGTTTAT